TATCTTTATGAATTAGTGTTTATTATTAAATTTACTAGACTCGATCTCCAGTCATTGTGAGAAGGATCAAACTAGTTGAGTGGGACCTCTAGACAGGTAGGCCCGATTGAAAACTTGCATAATTATTCTAGAATTTGATTTCAAAATAGGGTTTCTTAGAGAATTTTGCACGCTTACTAAAATAAAAACTACCGAGTGTATGCTTAACTTTGACCCACGTAACATTCTCAGACCATTTAAGTTTAAACACTTAATTGACTTGGTGGAGCACATGCGGGTTTCCATGTTGATTTACATGCATTCTGATGTAGCAGAATAACACATTTTAACTCAATGTATCAAATTTAAAAGATGTCTCAAAATATGAATGCAAGATTTGATATTGTTAACTTTCTAATTGCACAAATACTTCGTATTAATAGCACACATATATCTTGATAGAGTGTAACTTGAAAGGCTTACACAAATCCTAGGGGTGTTCATATTCAAATCAAATTTTGTCTTAAGACTCGATAGTCATAAGACCATTTAACAATTTTTAAAGTTTTGTGTGAATGCTATGACCTTATACTGACCACAAGACTTCATTTTAAGTATTTTACCATCATCTGTTTGCTAGTAGATATATGGAGAATTCGGTGGCGAGCAATTTCAAGTCAAACTTAACTTTTCAAATTAGGGCATTTTAATTACAATTAAGCCTAGCCTTCTAAACTTTAATATTTCAATTTTAGATTAAACTAAGCCCCTAAATGTATAACATTATTTTGAAAGCACAATATTTAATATTTGGGTCAATTTTAGTAAACTCAAAATATTAGAGTTTAAATTTGAAAATCTCAAATTTTGGATTAATTTTAAACCCTAGGCTCTTAGTTTTAAAAAGCATCAACCATTGAAACCTGAGTTTGAAAGCTCTCATTGATCTTGATTTAAAACCCTAAGATTTTAAGTTTGAAAGGATTAAAATTTAAATTATCTTTAAAAAAAAAACTATATTTCAAAGTCCCAAATTTCCAAATATTTTAATAATAAAAAAATCCATGTTTTCAAATCATTTTATAAATTCCAAAGTCATTGAATTTAAGTTGTTTACAAGTCTAAATCATCCAAAAAAAAAATTGCCAACCTCCCGACACCAACACCACCATTTGGGGGCACCATGAGAATGATAGTCTAATCAACTGTCATCAAAGACTCGCTAGACAACATTCTGAGACAACTCGATCAGGGAGCAAGAATATATATTTAACCCATAGTCTTAAAAGACACAACAAGAATTTAATGTCATCGCATAAAGGGTCAAATAAAAAATACACATTTCCCCAAGCAGTACTGTACGTCTGTACTTACCCCACACGGTACTTAATGGGTAGAATAAATACTCACGTTTCCCAGGATGACTATTTGAAAATTCTTAATTTTATAAAAGAAAAATTCAAAATGAGTCCACAATTTTCCTGAACGGAACTTAATTCTCAAAGACAGGTGCTCGAGCTTCCCTGAATAAATATTTTAAAAATTACTATTACTCACTTCATCATATCTTTTGCGAGTGAGATTAGCAGCAGCGAAGTTGGAAAGGCGAAATAAACACTACTTTCAACTTTCTTATTTTTTTAATAGATAGATTATATAATATATAATATACTATAATATATGTGAAATGAAAAGAGGAATAAGCCAAATTCTTGCATCTCCATCATGATCCCGTTGTTGCTCCAAGGATTGAGGTTTTTTGTGCCTGGGTTGAGTGCAATATTGAAGAGCCACATGTCAAAGTTCACTTCGATTTTTGTTTCTAACGAGAAGGAGCTCTAGAGGCCCTCATGTGCCAAAATCCAATCTTTGATTTCCTGGCCACTCGCAACTGAGGCAAGGGAATAAGAGGGGAAGCTCCAGTGATAGCATCCAGCATCGGCTTCAACCCAGCTCGCACAAACGCAAGGAGGCGAGAAAGGAGAAATTCAGAACTCCTTGTAAGCTACGATCTCGTCTTGTGCTGTGAAGAGAACCGACACTCAATCCAAGAGAAAGGGAGGAAGAAGAATATTAGGTCTTCTATTGGAGTTTATGTGTTGGGACTCAAGTGGGTCGCGTGAGAGAGATGAGAAAATCAAGAGTTTCAAAGGGCTTCATACGCCGCGATCTCGCCGTTGCTCTTCTATTTAATTACGACCACAAGTGTACCAGAAGGGTTTTGATCACAATGAAGGAGACAACGACGAGGGTTTCGAGTGAAGATGTGACTAGATGAGTGTCGCTTAGCTGTTCCAATAGAGAGGAGAGGATTTGTTATGGTTCTCCTACCAATTTCTTTAATGCATGAGTTTTCTAACAATGAGTGTGGGAAAGGTTAGGATATCTTTGAGGCAGCAGCCAGTATGGATTTTTTAATTTTAGTACTATTTTTTATGGTCAACAATGGCAATCACTCTTCAAATAAATTTTGGAGAATAAACAGCTCGAGTGATAAGATCTAATATGTCATATAATCTAGGAATAGAAAATCTATACTTAATGGTGATATTATTCATTGCTCTCCTATTCACACACATTATCCAATAACCATTTTGCTTAGTTGTCAAACAAAAAAAACCTGCACATGGACTAAGGCTTTCTTGAAATAAGCCTATTTTATGAGTTTATCTACTCGTCTTTTTAATTTAACATGCTTTATTGGGTTCATTTTATAGTGTGCAAAGTAAGATATTTTTGATCCAAGAATTAAATCTATAATATGTTGTATATCTCTCAAGAGTGACAACTCATTTGATAAATCACCACACATAACATCATTATACTCAGACAATAACTTTAAGACCACAAGTATATGATGCTCATTTGACTCAGGTGTAATCTCCTTCAGTTGCAAGATGTAGAAAAAATTAAGATAATAAAACTCTTCAATAATTTCCCAAATCAGAGTGTTCAAGTTTAAGATTAGAAGATATGTAAGCCATAGGGGATAAGTCAAAACTGCTCTCTGTGGCAGTAGAGGTTGAAAAAATTATCAATTGAAGTCTTGTATTTTTGTTATGACTTGGCTCTGGTTGATTTTAAAATGAGGTTTTTGGGGAAGTCTAGGAGCCCGCTTACCAACAGGCTTCAAAGGAAATAATTTTATGAACTTATTTTCATGCTTAAATACAAATGATATTTTGATCATAAAGTTAGGGTTTAACTTATAAGATGTGTTATGCTGATAGAATCGACTCGTACCAAACATGGTTCTCATAACTGCCCATTTGTACTAGGCATCTAGATTTGATGGGTACAAATGTGTGATTTACCTAACTAAGAGTGAGGCTAGTTCAAATTTTAGATTTGTCCTTACAAATATATCAATAGATATTACATTAATTGCACCATCCCCATCGATAACCAACTTATAATTCTTGTTTTTACACGGGATATATATGGTAAACATATTCCTTCTCCTCCAATCCTCATTTCTAGTTACAATCATACACCTCATGACACCAACCTGGTCCTCTAAAGTATGCTCTAGATCCTCAACTAACAAAGGTATGAACCAAATAAAGTGTCCCTCTTGATCTCAAGTAATTTGGTCAATGACATGAGATCTAGTGGAGTATTTTTTTTAATTTGAAAGAGATTAGAGAGCTCACAAAAAATTGTGATGATGAAAAAGATGAAATTTACCCGATGATAATGTTGTGTGAAACATATTTTAACATTACCAATTGCTATAGTAACATTCAAACAAGCTTTCTCCGACATGAAGATCATAAAGAAATGCTTATGTGAGATGTTGAGATGAATGCTTATCTAATTATATAATTTAAAAAGTATATATTTAATAGTACTGATAATGAAATAATTATATACAATTTAAGTATATCAAGACTTGAAAGGAGAAATTGCAACACTTTTTTTTTATTTTTTGTAAGCATTAATTTATCATTTTTTATATTAAAACTATAATAATTTATTTTTTGAAACCACCTATGCCAATCCTAAAATGGATAAAAAATTAAAATTATTTTTAAAATCATTAAGTTGTGCTCTGATTAAAAGTTTTTACTGGTTCCATTGCTGAAGAGCGGGATGTGAGAGGAAGATTGGAAGAGAGAGGGTCGGACAACAAGATTTCATATAAATCTATAGGTATTCAAAAATGAAATGCATGTCAACTAAACTTTAAATAAATTAGTATAAAAAAATTTCATAATTTATGAATATGATCGATCACAATATTGCATAACATTCAATGTGTTTTACTATATCAATAATATGTCTATATCATTTTATATATGCACAACTTTCACAGGAGCATCGCCTAAAATTATATCATTAAATATACTTTTAAATAAATATCCTTTTTTCATTTACGTGCACTGGTAACCTTAGCATTCCCTTGCTAATACCATAAAAGGATGACTCCATAACCAAACATGCATAGGGAAGCAATCTATGTAGTTCATATCATTCATACATTTATTTCATTCAATTCAATATATTATGTATACATTTAACTAATGCATAATATTAACATTTCTAAAATGTAAATTTACATGATGATATGACCAACATCTAAACGAGCATTAAATCACAAAAAAAAGTGAAATCATGTTTCAATAACAATCAATGGATTCCGTTTAGAAGAAGCAAAAGTTACCATAACTTGAAAGTAAGAATAGTCACATTGATTTCACTTAATGAAATAATCCTTTTTAAATCTTTTAACTTTCTCTTTCACAGCATCAATTTTCTCACTTGATTATATTTTATAATATTCTAACATTAAAATGTAGCAAATTATAATTAGTTTGACTATAGATGATTACCAAATAAGCACTAAATTTACCTCCTTATCTCTTCTTTTGCACGATCCTATCTCGATCATACTGGTCCTTTAATTCAATTGTTTGCCCAAACAAATTAATTGAAATTAATTCATAAAGCTTAATATACCTTAATAACATTTTAGTTAAAATAATTTATGTAATTAAAGCATAAAATCCATAAAGCCTTACCTTAACATTCATTCTGTGGCTGGATTTGCCTCTTTCTAGTTTGAACCTACACCACAAACCTTCTTGATAGTTCTCCCGACACCAATTAAATAGTAAATTTCAATTAGAAAAATTATAATCTTTATTACATAAAGTTAAGTATAATATAAGATCATCTATTTAATTAAAAAATAGCTTATATAAAATAAAACATAACCTTGACCTTATTGCCTCGGTTCAGTCTTCACTTAAACCACACGAAACTCCTTCTGCGATGCCACATCTTCCTTATCTTCTCCTTAGAACGGGACATTAACGCAACCCTCCATCCTGCACGCCAAGACTCAATTCACTCCACTCTGCTCGCGCAAGTAGGTCCTCCCTTACCTATCAGTCGGTTTGGCTCGATTTATCCCGCATAGAGCTCTTCAATGCTTCTTTCTTCGATCCCAGACAACATCTAACACAATCAAGCCGCTCACGAAACTTCTCACCTACAAGCAACTCTTTTTTTCCTTTGGTTCTCTCTTGAGCGGGATCATCCAAGCTGCAAGTTTGATGCTCTTGCTAGCGTCGCCTTCCTCCTATGCACACTCTAGCATGGCGAAGTGCAAGCTTGCATATGTGTCGCTCGACTCCCTAGGTAAGTTGTTCACGATCAAAGTCCGCTACTTTCGGCTTGGTCCTTTGTAGGCGAGCATTCCTCTTCATTCTCTTCTCTCGCACGACATGACTTCTTTCTTCTTCTTTTCTCATACTTTTGTCCATATCATGACTCCTCTAGTTTGAATGGAAAGCCTATTCTAATAATAAAATTGTTGTGGAAGAAACGAAACCTTGCTATCGTTTCGATTTATTTATAATAAAATTGTTGTGGAAGAAACGAAACCTTGCTACCGTTTCGATTTATTTATTTATTTATAATTTTGTTATTTTATTTTGGTTATCACACAATACTTATTGTTTGCTAGGTTGACCAATTGTTTGCTAGGTTGACCAAACTTATTCACTAGGGCAAACATTTACCACAGATTACTAAGGTCCTCTTAGAAGAAGTAACTCATGGCTACTCACAAAGATCTTTTGAAAAGAATAGATCAACTAGCTCCTTTGATTAAGATGATGAAAGTTCATGACAACGTAAATGACTAAGTCATGAGAATTTGATCTGATTAACAATATCATTTACTCTTAAACTAAAGGAGATGAATTCTCTAATCTAAAACCCAAAGTGTTGCTACAATACGCTAAATATTTAATAATTGATAATTAGCTTCAATCAAAATTGTTTATCATTAAGATTAATTAACCATATCTGCTTGCACCGAAAAAAAATTTAAAATTACATCCTAAAATCCTTACAAAATAAGCACAAAATCTCTGAATAGTTTCAAAATTTTAATATGCATTCTAAAATTTTGGCACAAAAACACACCATCAAAACTCTCTTACAAGAGTTAAGCATGAATTTTGAGAAGCCACATATAAAATAATCATGTGTTTGTTCTTATAATAGAACAACAAAAAAGAAATCATAGTATAGAAAATCAGACTAAACTGGCTGGTTCGACCGTGAACCAGTCAAAGGTCCGATTTCAGGTGGCCTAAAAACCGTCCCCGCATTGAGCCAGAATGAACCGACTAGAACAGACGTCCAACCGTTGAATTAGTTTATTTTTTAGAGCTTTTTGAGAGATATTTTTTGGATTATAATACTTGATTTCTAATAGTTGTTTAAGTTCACATATGATTTATATTTCATGATATATTTTTTATAAACATACCACGACATCACTATATCATTTAAGTTTTTTTTTTTTATATATTTATGTCGTCCCCCGGCTCAACCATTGAACCTCGAACCTTTAACCTCCTCTTCCAGTTCAATATCCGCTCGTGTGTGTATTAATGTTAAAATGTCGTCTGTTCCGATTTCGCTCTGCTAGGATTTCGCCATTATGGTGAAACCTGGTATCTCTTCGTCGATTTGCTCTTCGTCGTGTTTCCTCTTCGTTGTGCTTCTTCTCTGTCGTGCGGCGTCAACTTCTTCATCGCGCGTCGTCTTGGCTCTTTCACTCTCGAAGAAGAGGTTTCTGCGTCGTGCGGCGTCGGGCGTCTTCTATTGTCAGTTGCATCTCCTACAGTCGCGTCTCCTGCGGCTCTGTCTTCTACGGCCACGTCTCCTATTGCACTCGTGTCTGTCCTCCCTGCACGTACATGAGCTACTCGCAGACCAGACTCAATGCCTGTAGATTGCCGCTTCAACTCCCTATTCCATGGCTACTGCTCCTCAACCACCGACTACATCAGTTTTAAACCTTGGGAAGGCTTCTTTTGTTGATATGGTTGGCTCTATGGGATCAAATCAGGTTTTCCCTCAGGTTTATAATGAATCATTCGAAGGCTAGGAGGACTGCAACCTTATCAAGAAAACGGGTAGGAACAGTGGCAAACTGACTCTATTCTTCTCTGATGTTGAAATTTCCAACCTGGTTAACAACTTCAAATTCACTCTCATTGGGAAGTTCCAATCGGGATATCCCAAAATGGAAATCGTTCGAAAGGCTTTTGAAGATCTCAAACTATTGGGACTTTTGAAGATTGACCTCTTTGATGAGAGACGTGATGATACAATTATCTAAAGTGGAAGACTATGCCAAAATATTTTTCAAAAAGTTTATGACAATAGATGAAAAATATATGAAATTGCTTAAGTGATCTCCTGATTTTGACCCTAGTCAAGAACCACCTATAGTTCCAATCTGGTTTAAACTACCTGGCCTAAAGTAACACTACTTCAATCACCAAGTCCTCTATTCTATTTGAGCTGCACTAGGGAGACCTCTGAAATTGGATACACCCACCTCCAATCTAACCAAGCCTTCGATTGCAAGAATTTTTGTTGAAAGGGATATCACCCTCGCTAATGTGGGCGAAATATGGCTTGGTACTGCCCACAATGGGTATTGACAGCCAATTGTTGCAAAATAAAAACCATACTACTGCAATCACTGTAAACTGTTTGAGCACACATCTGTCAAATGCTTCAAGCTTCACCCACATTTGAGATTGGCAGGTCCTAACAACATCATCCATGATATAGCAGACACTGTTAATCTTCCATAAATGTTGAATGAGAATTTGACTCATAAGACTACTCACCAACCAGTCCAGCAGCTTTCGCCTACTGTTATTGAGGCAGCTCTTCCTCAGATTACAAATACTATGAATTTTGTCGTAGCAGATGCTAGTCCTAGTGGCTTAGAACCCCATATTGCGAGAGAAGAGGGAACTCAAGTTCTGGAGGAGTGTCAGGATTAAGGTGTGCTACAAGCTGAGTCAGATCAACAGTTTACTTCCACCGAAGATCCACCTATTGTTCAGACGGGATTACCTCTGACAGATGATTGACAGGTTTACAAATCTAAGAAGAAGAAAAAAGAAATGTTAGATCTTAATAATTCTCAGGATGACTGTATCATAGTTTCAGATGGAAGCCCACATCTCAGTATGTTGCTGGACTCCCACCTAGATTCAGGAGAAGGGGAAGTGGTATATCCACCGACTACACCCACCATGATTAGGAGTTATTTTCTTTTCATTATATATTTGGGGAATACGTGTAGTTGTAATCCCTATAAGTGAGCTCTTTGTACCCACTCACTAAAACCTTTGTATCCACTCTTTTATATCAATGAATTTTGCCTTCATATATATATATATATAGGGGGGGTGCGCATACATATCTATGTATATAGAAAGAGATGGAAAATAAAACTGTTACTATACGTTGAATATTTAGTATTTAATGACTGGTCTTGATAGAAAGTGTTCTCTCATTATTAGGTTGGATAATTAACCACAAGGGCTAGCGCTTATGGAAAACCTCAAACCCTGAAAAAAAAATCCTCATAAAATTAAGGTGAAATATTTAAGTTGTATATTATCTATTATTCCATATGTCTTCTGAAAATTTGAACCGAAATAACAAATACAAAGCACTCAATAAAAAAGACTGGGCACAACGGAGTCCCCACCTAGTAAGCCAATCGTATCAGAATCCTAATTTACGAGATTTACAATCCCATACCGCTATATGCCCGCATCCCACGTCATAAAGTTTCATTGACCTAAAACAAAAGGAAAATAAAAAGTATACAATCTAGGTGATATTTAATGTTATTACTTTAATTTTTCTGTATATTATATATGTAACAAAAAACACACAAGATTAAGTTACCATTGTAATGAATACAACCATTAAAATCAGTGCAACACACAAAATAATTTTTGTTTTCTATTTTATTCTATCAAGAGAAAATAACAGCTTTTATCATCCAATAGATAGTAGCTATCTAGAGCTTAGATAGCATTTTTATAATATATATAGATATATACATACATTTATATATCTGTATATATATCAAAATGACATGTAGAAGCAACATGGCTGTCAAGAAAATATTTGATGAAAATTGTACTCACCTGCAAACCGACGGTCATACTCAATAGAGAAATATCATTCTTTCCGGCTCTTAAAGGAACGTGAGCTTCAAGCTTAAACGTTATGTCACTTCCATTCCCACTTGAACTGGCTATAAGATAAGAAAATATCAAATTATGTTGTAAGCTCATAAACTTAAATAATGGATATCGGATGAATAGTAGATATGCAGCGTAGTAGATATGAAGGCCAACTAAGAGGTAGAATTTTCAAATACAGTATAGTAATCATTCAGGCAAAAAAATAAAAAAATGAGAAAGCTACTGTTAGGGAAAACTACTAAGAAAGAGTCTCCTTTAATTTCGCTGCGGAATAGGATCACAAGATTCAAGAAAACCGGAATAAAAATTTAAACACAAAAGCACAATCAAAACAACTAGAAAAACACAAAAGAATTTTATATGGAAAAACCTGAGAATGGGAAAAAAACACTGTGTCACACCACCAGAAATTTCACTATGAAATTCAGAAAGTTGTACAAAGTATTCACACAAGTTTCTTCTCCACACTCACACGAAGAAATTTACAGGACTTGGACCAACAATATTCCCTCTCCGATCTGACACAAAAAATCACGCCGAATCACCACACTCCTCACATTCACCGGGATGCTCGTCAAATAATTCATAAAGAAGAAAACAGCAAGATCAATGATCCAAGCTAAAAAAATTTGCTTAAAAGCAATTTTTCATGCAGTAACAGCGTCGGGCGCTTAGGCGCCCAAACTTGGCGCATAAACGCTAGTCTCTCGAGAATAAGAGCAGCGCCCGCTTTATAGCGTGTGCATATGCGCCCAAAGCATATTCGAGCAGCACCCAAGGGGGCGCTTAAGCTGCCCACAACCCGACGCATATGCGTCGGGTGCCTTGTGCTTAAGCTTCATAGCCCAACAATCTCCACTTGGAGACTATAGCACCTTGCACTAATCTTGTACCTCCATCTGAATAACCTTCATAGTCATGTACTATGGTCACATACAGTGGTGTGGCTCACCCTCGGTCTCAACCTTCATGAAACCCAACTGAAGCCAAACATAACTTCAATTTTTCAACAGTTACCACTTTTGTCAACGTATCCGCAGGATTTTTAACTGTATGTATCTTTTCCAGAAATAACTGTTCATCTTCTAGAAGAGATTGAATGAAACAATTCCTGAGCTGGACATGTTTCTTCTTGACATGAAAAACAGCATTCTTAGCAAGATGAATTGAACTCATATTGTCACTGTAGAGTTTTCTAATTCTCTGCTCCTTGCCCAATTGTGCCATGAAATTCTGTAGACAAATCATCTCATTGTTACCATCAGTGATAACATATTCGGTCGCCATAGTTGAAAGTGCAACAATCTTCTGCAATCTAGAAACCTAAATCATTGCTATGTTCTCCAATATAAAGATATATAACGTTGTACTTCTTCGGATGTCCACATTTCCTGCTAGATTTGAATCTATGAAATCCTATAGACTGATCCCTGCACTTCAATAGCAAAATACCATGTTGACCGTTCCCCTCAAATATCTAAGAATCCACTTTACCCCCTCTAAATAATGTTTGCTTGGATTGCCCATATGTCTGTTGACTACTCTCACCGCATATGCAATATATAACTCAGTACGAATCATCGCATACAACAAACTTCCAACTGATGAAGCATACAAATTTTTCATTATTTGTGCTTGCTCTGCTTCAGAGTTAGGTGATAGCTCCTTAGATAGTTTGAAGTGAAAACCTAACGGAGTGCTAACTGTTTTCGCTTCACTCAATTTGAACCTCTATAGGATCTTTTCAACATACTCTGTCTAAAACAACTTAAGTGTTTCTGCACTCCTGCCCCTGCTAATTTTCATCCCGAGGATCTTTATGGTTGGACCTAAATTCTTCATCTCGAACTCACTTGATAAGTGTTTCTTCAAAATCTTGATTTTCTACATACATGCCCCTGCAATCAGCATGTCATCTACATACAAAAGAAGCAAAATATAAAAGTTACTGAAGTGTTTGATGAAGCAATAGTGATCTGGCTGGAACTTCATATACCCATTCTATGACATTAATCTGTCAAACCTCGTGTACCACTGACTCATGGATTACTTCAAGCCATAGAGGCTCTTTTTCAATCTAAGGACCAAAGCTTTTTTGCTTAGAACCTTATAATCTTGTGGTTGCACCATGTATAGCTCATCCAAATCTCCATGTAAAAAGCTATTTTTACATCCATTTGCTCCAGATGCAGATCTTCCACTGCTACCGGACTTAGCACAACCTGACAGTAGTTAACTTTACCACTAGGGAGAAGATGTTTGAGTAATTTACTCCCTTCTGTTGGAAACCCTTCACAAAAAGCCTTGTCTTATAGCGCTTTCTACTATCTGACTCATCTTTCAGGTTGTAGACCCACTTGTTGTGCAGTGCTCTCTTGCCATTTGGTAGTATCGTCAAATCCTATATCTGATTTGACTTCAAAAATTGCATTTATTCATCTATGGCAAGCTCTCACTCCCTTGAATCTTCAACTTCAGTCGCCTCCTCAAAGTACTTTGGTTCACAACTATCAATTAATAACAAATAGTGTAAAGAAGTAGAATACATTTGTATGGGTTGTTTCACACTGTTGGATCTTCTGACTTATGTAGCAGCTGACTTAGGAACTTCTAGTGCTCCTTTTGATTGAGCACTACTTTTTTCTCCATCTTCTTGATCACCGATATCTACTATCTCCATAAATCTGAATCCTTCAGAAGAAACTGACGGAATGTCCTGAGTTCTGACCCTGTCATTATACGTCTCCGTTTCGTTGAATGTTACGCTCCTGCTTTTGATGAATTTCTGGTTCTGATAATTCCATAACTTGTATCCAAACTCATCTGAGCTATATCCAATGAAGGTGCACTTGACAGATTTTGAGTCAAGCTTGTTCATGGACCCTGCATTAACATGCACATATGCAAAATACCTAAATACTCTTAAATGAGATAGACATACATTTTTGTCACTCCAGGCTTCTTCAGGTAAGCCTTCCTCCAAAGGTACTGATGGACTACGGTTTATCAGATAAATATGTTTACTGCTTCTGCTTAAAATTGTTTTAGCAAACTTGCATGTAATCTCATGCTCCAAGCAAGCTCCGTGATTGCTTTGTTCATGCGTTCAGCCACATCATTCTGTTGTGGTGTACTTGGGACAGTCAACTCATGCTTGACCCCCTCCGTTGCAGAGAAATTTCCGAACTTCTGATCACGATACTCACCGTTATAAACTGATCTGAGACACTTCAACTTGAAGCCCGTCTCATTTTCTGCCATAGCCTTTCATTTCCTAAAGACTTCAAATACAACAAATTTCCGCTTTAAGAAATAAGTCCACACATTTCTCGTGTGATCATCAATAAATGTAACAAAATAGCAAGAACCTTCAATGAACAGAACTGGAGTAGGACCCTATACGTTAGTATGCACTAACTCCAGTTTCTTTGAATCAACACTGAACCGCCCTTGGAGAAAGAAACCTTCTTTTGCTCGTCATATATACAGTTCACAGAATCCTGAAGCTTATCCTTTGAAAGTAGGCACTTCACACATTTCTTTCTCATATGGCCAGGCCTACGATGTCACGGACTTGCATCTATCCTGGTTCCAGCCACATCAATGAACTCAATTATTTCATTGATTAGATAAAGGGTATCTTCAATGTTACCTTGAGCTATCACTAATGCCCCCTGGTCATCTTATACGAATAACCTGTGAAAGTAGTCGCAAGTCATGACTTAGTAAACTGGTTCACAAATATAAGATTTCTTTTTAAACTAAAAACATGTCTGACTTCAGTAAGCTTCCAGACTACATTCGGCAACCTGATATCAACGTCACCCTTTCCAACTATACTGCAGGCCTAATCTTCCCTAGATAACTCTGAGTGCAATTTTTAAATACCTCTTTATTGGGGCAAGCATGAAATAGACACATGAATCCACTATCCAGGATTCAGTGCTGCTAGGGATAACACCAGAAAATAATTTTGGATTTCATCTGTGGAGACATTAGTAGAGAAACTACTTTTCTATTCTCCACCACCAGCATTCCTTGGAGCTTTGTGGTCCTTCTTGAAATACCCCTTCTTACCGCAATTCCAGCATTCTCCTCAGCTTGAATTGGGCTTTCCTTTCTTGGACTTAGATCTGCCTCTGCTTGTATTCCTGCTCAGATTCTTTCCTCTATAATCAACATTCAACGCTGAACCTGAAGATTCACTATTCGTTATTTTTCTACAAACTGCTTAATTCAGCATCAGATCCACGATATCATCGAAGTTCAACATCGAAGTCCCTGAAGATTACTTACTGTCATTACCAAGTCATCCCAGTTTTCCGGTATTGAAGATAATATCACCAGTGCTCTGACGTTATCATCGAACTTGATCCCTACAGAACACAACCGGCTCGTTACAGTTTTAAAGTTATTGAGATGTTCTACCACCGAACTGTCTTCCACCATCTTCATGTTGAATAAATTTTTCATCAAAAAAACCTTATTAGAAGCAGAAAGTTTTTCATATATCCGGGTCAGTGTCGCCATGAGATCTACAATAGTTTTCTCATTCACAATGTTGAGCACAACAGATGATGAAAGTGTCAACTTGATCAAGCCTAGTGTCGTTCGATCCAACACTTCTCACCTCCAAAGGCATAAACTCAGACTTCCTTGTGATTCCTTGTAATTGCAAGCATAATTTTTTCTGATACAATAAATCCTTCATCAGTATCTTTCAAAAGGTAAAATTCGTCTCATTGAACTTCTCCACTTAGAGTCTTGCTTCTTCAGTCATTGTTCCCGCTTCAATCAAACCCCGCTCTGATACCAGTTTGTTAGGGAAAACTACTGTGAAAGAGTATCCTTTTAATTTTGCCGCGAAACAGGATCACAGGATTCGAGAAAACCAGATAAAAAATTTAAACACAGAAACACAATCAAAACAACCAGAAAAGCACATAAAAAATTTTATGTGAAAAAGCCAAGAATGGGAAAAAATCACAAGCCACGCCACCAGAAGTTCCACTATGAAATTCGGAAAGTTTTACAAAGGACTCACACGTTT